TGTGCACTTTCTTTCGAATTTATCACTAAGTTAAGTGGCTCGTTATCTGCTGCAGAAGTGGCGCAATCGGGGCCGCAAGCTCCTCTACCGTGCCCAACAACGTCCGACGTGACTTTCAGTCCGATGATATTTTGCGTGCCGATCGGATCCCTTGACGCGCAACTAAACAGGCGAATATCCGCGTCGTAACAAATTTCTCTTGTCTGCGATTCAGACAAAATTTCGGTTTGATCTTTCGCAAACGAACACGTAGATTCCGTTGTTTTACTGATATCTAGCGAGTCAGAGCCTGTCCCTTCACTGAAATCCTTCCGGCAGCTACCGAGCCTGTCCCTTCGTTCCTTCCGCAGGTTTCCCGTTTTTGTGGACAGCGATTCATTAACTGTACCAGTCAGTACATCAGAATTCACTATCCTAACATCGTGACGTGCTGCTGTTGACGACAACTTTGCAGAGTATATCGAGTTTAGATTAATCGATTCCGTGTTATCTTTCGTTTTGTGATACAACTCGTCTGTATCCTGTACGGTATTGTGTGCTACCAATGCTTGCAGATCGATCCACTGCATAAAATTATTCGATAGCGCCCATTGTGGCGCAACGTCAAATATGTGTAGTCCTGGAAACAAAAAAAAGAATTGATCGTAACTCACATTTGCCACAAGTTCTGTTGCGCTACGCACAAGCGAAATGACCAATGTGTGATAATAATTACGTCATTTAAAATGTCAGGAATTCCGTTTCAGAAAATCAGGAAGCAACAGAGAGACGACGATATTTGTATCCAGAGTTTATTATTTTACAATTGGAAATAAATGGCGCTGTATAATTCGCATTATAACATAGAATATTTAATTTTATACGATCGCTTCTAATTTTGCGGTCCCGATTAACGAGAAAACATATACATATAGAATTTAAAAAAATATATATATAGCACAATAATTGTATTTTACCATTGCTGGAAACAATAGAAGAGTCGTGACAACTCACACCATATTGTAGGTCCCCACTACTTTTATCTTTCTCATTTGTATCCCGACAATCGTAGTAATATCGCTCTACGTCCAGAAGCTTATCGAACTTTTCCTCTGGCGATATATGTTTAGACGTTTGCAGAGATTCTGTAATCATACAACATACATTTCTCTTACCGATCTGAACATATCGCAGGAGCTTTTAAGCCATCACTCTCACAATATTCACACGATACACTACAAACGCCGATTCGAGCAAGCTGCTAATGTTAATACGCGACATATATATAATCATACAAGGATTTAAACAGTAAACGAAGCATCGTAGCCCCTCTGTCTGACGTTTTCTGGAATTTTTATTAATTCACTTTTTTATTAATCTATTTTTTTATAGGTAAACGTTTTGTATTTGAAATGAAATAGATATACGTTTGATATTTAGCGAAAGCGAGAAGGCAGGTTTTCGTGCAGTCCAATACAGCAGTAGAAAACGAACCCACTGATAAAAAAAAAGGAGAGAAAAAAACAAAAGTATCCTCGACGAGACGGAACGAACGAAACAGATCGCAACTTAGCAGCTTGCAGTCTGCGCGTAGGGAATATCGGCTCGTACGAATAGAAACGTAGCGTATATTTACACCGTTTACACTCTCATTTAACTATAGTATTTGAAAAAAAAAAAGAAAAACACGCAGCAAACGCTCTGATGTATGGAGAAGGGGCAACACGGTAAGAAACACAGTGTCATACGCTTCCGTCTCGTCCTCGTATTCCAAACGCACGCACGCACGCACATACATATACAAAGGCACACACGCTTCCACGCTTCCACCTTTCCCGTCAAGAACATTCACTTCGCCTTTATTCATACGACCCATTGACACCGACTATCAAACAGCTATTATCCGTCACGCCGCCGCATCGGCTCGTGCTCGTCAGCTCGCGCACTTCCGAGCGCACGACCGCCACGAAAGACCAGCGCACTCTCCGCGACGCGTCCCTCGCGGTTTACCCACTTTGCGACGAGCGCCGACGTTGCAAATTTTTTTTTTGTTTTTTTTTTTATTATATCACGTCGCAGAAGAAGCTATCCATCACCGATCTCTCCGACGTTCGCTGAGGGAGTTACGTGGCAATTCGAGGTATCAACGGCGTTGACGCGTGAGAAAGGGGAGAGAACAAGGTGGAAAGGAGATGGGAAAAGAACTCGGCGGCGTGTGGATCGCCGAGGTTTTCACTACTACGGAAAACGTCGGCGACGGCGATTCTTTCCGAAAAGGAGCGTGCCTCCCTATAACGGTCCGCCGCCGCAACGGAGGTTGCCGATCGGCCGGATTTTTGCGTCGTCGTTCCACGACGTCGTCGTCGCCGTCAACATCAACGTCGCTGTTGGTGATTCGCGAGGAGACGGCGACGCACGCATGCACGCACGCACGCACGTACGTACGTATGCACGATCGCCCCGGTGTCACATGCTCTCGCAATCGTCGCTCCGAGAATTTGCTCCGAGAATCGGACTCCGGCAATCGGCTCGTGGATCGGCGCGCGGTCTCGCGGATTCCGGCGGCACGCACCGTGCGCGTACACGCCGTTCGCAGGCGTGGAAGAGAAACGGAGATAGAAATTGAAAGAGCAAGAGAGAAAGAGACAGAGATCAAGTGTACCTACGGCGCGCAATACACAGACGCAGGATTTATGTATGTACACACGAAAGGCAAAGCGACAGCGGCGAACACGTTTATCCCGCACGTACTGTACATACACACCTCGTACACGTACACGTACTGTACACTTGCGCGGCCGTACACATCGATAGCGTCGTCGTTCGTGCGGACCACCTATGCACGCGCGAGCGAGACGTGTCACGAGCGAGCGCGAGGGTAAGAGAGAGAGAGAGAGCGCGACGGACAAAGGAGGAGAGAGAGACGAAAGACGCAGGGAGGAGGCACCCGCGCCGACAGACGTTTACCGAAGGAGCACCGTGGCCGCGTGTCACGACGGTCGCACTCTCCGCAGTCACCGGGTAATTCGCGACGGCCACTAGCGACGGAACGAACCGGCGCGGCGTTGCCTCGCGCTTTATTCACGCCGCGCGCCAGCAGCAACAGCGAATCCACACGTATTCACCGTATATATACATACACGCACGCACCTATACACACCCATACACACACACACGCGCGCGCGCAAAAACACACACATACACACACACACACACACACACACACCAGGCTGCGCGAAGGATGAATGTACGCACGCACGCATGCACGCATGCACGCACGTACTACACACGGCGTCGTGTTACCCACCGGCGGCGGCGGCGGCGGCGACGACGACGACGATTATTACAACGGCGGGAGGAAAGAAGAGGGAACGAGGTGGGCGGGAAGGGAGATGGGGAGACAGAGGCGAGGAAAACGGAGCGGAGCACACGCACGATACGCACGGTCTGGATGTCGCGCTGCCGAACGTGGAACCACGTCCGGGCACGGGGGGAATCGTACAGCGTGCGGTGTGCTGGCGCGATCCCGGTGTGTGCACGCACAGTGTTGCGCACCCGCCGCACACAATCGCACACACACACACACACACATACACACTCAACGGTAAAGACGCACACACAAACAGGAGCGTACAATCCGCGCCGACGTGAGCGCGGGGAGCGCGAGAGAGCGCCGCGCCGGAACGCGCGCCGTGACCCGCCTCTCCCCCTCGGAGTACCACACGCACACACGCGCGCGCGCGCGCGCACGGAGCGCACAATGCAATTTTCACTCGCGTTTCCCCGGCCCCGACGGGTGGGGAGACTCGCCGCACTACCAGCCGACGACGTCGACGACGTTGACGGCGACGGGCCGGACGGGCACAATGAGGGCCCCTCCGAGTATGAGAGAGAGAGAGAGAGAGAGATAGAGAGAAAGAGAGAGAGAGACGTGCGTAGCCCGATCGTCGGCCCCCGCTCGGCTCGACACACGACACGGCACGGCACGGCGCGACACGGCGGGCGAGACACGTACGCGGCCGCGAACGCGAGGATCGGACTTTCCGCGCACCTACCGCAACGAGGCCCTGCCGCCGCGGATACGGGCGGACTTGCGATTTTCAGCCCAAAAATCGTCGGGGCATCAACCAAAGCAGTGTTTCAACAATGGTGGCCGTCCACACAGCGAGTCAGCCCATCGTGCGCCGGCCCCGACACCTAGCGGTGGCGGCGCGACTCACGTTTCCGTTTTCTCGGGCGAGTCAACGTGCGACGACGCGACGCGAAGCAACGCGAGACGCGAGACGACGAGAACGGTCGCTTCTTAACGATCATATCTCGTCTCGTTTCTTTTTTTTTTTAACACATAATTATTAATTAAACCAAAAAAAGAAAAAAATAACGACAAAGACGATACAGTTCTTCTAAACCAAAAAACGTTTAAAAAAAAATCCCGCATCGCATTTTCGATCCGTGCCTCTCGATCGTTCAAACGCATCAAGGTGCGTCTTCACCGGACGTCGGCGAACACAGATCGCGAATTGCTTTATTTCTAGTATATCTGTTGATACCTGTTCGCCAACAGCTTGTAGACCGTTAATTAATTAAATTAAAATGTAAGATCGCTAATAAGCTAAATCAGTTGTTATTCTTGTTTTTTATTTCGAGCAGTTCGTTACCAAGTTTGTTTCCCAGTAAGCGGAAATAGATTAAAATAATTCTTTTAAATTGAAATGGATTGAAATTTTCCAAACCGTGAATTGAAATGGATTGCCCTTAATTATAGAAATGCATTCATTTCCACGAAGGCCAATAATCCATTTCAAATCCATTTTTAATCCATGATTCGAAATTTCAATCCATTTCCGTTTAGTGGCTCTAGTTAGCAGCCGTATTTGAGAGCAAAAGGAAAGCGATGGATCCAAAGTAGAACACCGGTGTAAATGGTATGTTTAGTTTTTGCAGATTCACTGAGAGCTGATCGTGGATCTTTTTTGCATGTACATACTATTCGCGGAAAACAGAGTGTCGGGCGCGTTATAGTTCGTACAATTTGCGAACTGTTTTCCGCGGTGAATACGCACCTTAAATGCGAACGGCATTTCAAGGGTGGAACTTCAGCAGAAGTGTTCCGCACTGCGACGTTCGCTCCTGCGCCTCGATCGTTCAAATAAACACTTCGAACACGCCACGTCTCTTAATACATATGACGATTCGATCTGAAATCGCACCGACTGCTTCCGAAGCGCAAATCTATACGTTTTTTGATAATTCAATATGTATATATTCAAGGCAAATATCGCCACAGCGCGTCAGTCGTGCCACTGCAGCAAATTCGTCTCTCTGCGAAGGTATTAATGGTTTTATATAGCGGTCGACTTGAGACACACATTTTTCCGCGTTTAATCCCGAAACACAATAGATGCAGTAAGTTAATAAGAAATTGACCAATCATAATTTATTATTCTCTTCAAATTCAACTGCGATTGGTCCATTTCTTACAGCTTACGGTCCATCTACAATGAGAGTAGTAAATCGTAAGCCGGAAAAAATTCTACTAATTATAGTCGAATATAAGAAGAATAATTGACTGTGATTGGTCAAGCACATACGGCATACGACTTACTACTCTCATTGTAGATGGACTTTTAAGGCTTACAACATCTATTGTGTTTCGAGACTTATAGCGTAAACACTTCAAATGCTTGTGCCCATCACGCGATGCTGGACATTGCTCCGAGATCTCGGATAGAGGAAGACTGGCCAATCGCGTTAATCAAGTTGAATTGTTTGAACGTGATTTATAATTCTTTTTCCGAGACCTCGATGCGATTTCTAGCGTGGACACAATTTTAGACCGGATAAACTTACGTAGTTGCGTATGAATCAAAAGAATCGCCAAGTGCGGACAAAAATTCTTGAAAGTTTCTGACCAAAACTAAATTAAAGGTAAGGGAGGGGGGGGGGCAAATAGTGTCACTTTAAATTTCTCCTCTTTCCCGCGTCTATCTTACCACTACTCGTTAATAGAAAGACAGTTCTTAAGCATCTAATCATCTTCTAAAAAAGCAGTAAAAATCAAAAGCTAAATATAGCTAGCGGAAAAGTTAAAAATTTTGCAATCGTGAAATCAGGTAAAACCTGGATCTTTTTTTGATATTTGAAATTATATTTTCTTAATTGCTGAATCGTTGAATGATATCTAACCTATTCTATGTCATACAGTATCTTTTTCCTCTTTTTGATATAATTTCTGTGCTTGTATATTAATTTTATTTCTCTCAGTAAAATTTTAAAGGTTTAGTCTATTGCATGTGCGTGTGGATATGTAGCGCAAGATCAGAGTTACTCTATTCGTTAATCTTGTGCTAGGATGATGTCCGGATAATAAGTATTTCAATTTTGAGGAGATCGAGACTAAATGCACTTTATTCGAATGTACACTCGCTCACTAAAAGGTTGCGACACTATCTTTTTTATAGGTTTCAAAACACATTAATATTTTGCAAATGTGGACCACGATTGGTGTTATAACTGCCTTTA